AGCGGGCGGCGACCCCGTCACCGAGCCGTGAGCTCAGCAGGAACATTGACCCCCTGCCCGCCTTCGTCCCCATCTCAGTCGTGCTGGCCCATGGGAGGAGGAGGAGGAGGAGGAGGAGGAGGAGGAGGAGGAGGACGAGGAGGAGAAGGAGGAGGAATGGGAGGTGGAGGTGGAGAAGGAGGAGGAGGAGGCGGCGGCGGCGGCGGCTGCGGAGGACGAGGAGAGGGACGACGAAGACGAGGACGGGCGGACGAGGACGCGGAGGACACAGGAAAGCAGGCGGACAAGAGCATAACAGCGGGGACGAGCTCGAGGAGGAGCGGGAGCTGGATTAGAAGAAGAAAACAAACACATAAGCATAAACTGTTGGCGTTCCGCGCGCATTTCGTGGGCGCCAGGGGCGGCGCCAGAGGCGCCGCCGAGGGGGCCCGGCGCGGATCCAAGAAAACCACGCAGAACGCCAAATCCCACCAGCCCTTTGGCCGTGAGTGGTTTAGGGAGCTCTCTCTGTCCTCAACCCCCCTTCTTCCCCTTCGGAGAGGGGTTTACCCCTCCCCCTACCCCCTCCCCCTGGACCTGGAGCGGGAGTTCCGCGGGTCGTCAGGGGGGTCTTTTTCGACGTCTGGGAGGGCCAAAAAACGACGACCCTCACGAGGATTCTGGCCCCGAGGGGGGGGGGGGAGTTTGGTGCCTCAGCTCGTCTTTGAAGCACAAATCCTTGATTTTACTAGGGTTTTGGGCCCATTTTGGGCTTCTGAGGGGGCAGCGCTCACCGTCCTTCATAGCAAAATCCGCCGACCCCTTGGGGTCATCGGCGTGTGAGATGCTTCCCCCCTCCCCAAACCCCTCCCCCCGGAGCCTGGTCCGGTCGTTTTGGAGGGGGGGGGGGGGGGGTCCGGCCGGATTCCCCGGGATCCGCCGGCGCGGTCCGGGGGGGGTCATCCGCTCCAGAGAGTCTGCTGGGGGGGCCGCAAACGAGCGAAGAGGCTCCCAAGAAGCTCTGCAGACGGTCCAAGAGGGCCCCGAGTCGCCGAAAAAACACTCGAAGACGGTCAAGATGGCCTCCAGATGGCCCCAGATGCCTCCAAGACGCCCCAAGAAGCTTCCAAGACGCCTCCCAAGATGGCCCCAAGAGGCCAAAATCGTCGATTTCCATTGGTTTTTTCAACGTTTTTGGCCTTCGCGTTTTTTCGGGCTTCCGACGCTCCAAGACGGCGAAAGAAGCCCCCAAGACGGCATCAAGACGACCCGAGAGGCTCCCAAGTGGGCCCCAACACGGCCCAAGAGGTCCCCAAGACGGCCCAAGAGGGCTCCAAGACGGCACCACGAGGGGCCCAAGAGGGCGACCAAACATGTTGAAACTCTAGCTTTCTGCCCCCAGGAGCCCCAGGGGGCCCCAAGAGTGCCCCAAGAGGCCCCCAGAGGCCCTCACGAGGCCGCCCAGACGCCCCAAGGAACCCCCAAGAAGCACCCCAGAGGCTCCGAAACGGCCCCCGAGTGGCTCCAAAACTCGCAGTGTCGCTGTCCGCTCGGACCTCCCCGCGGAACTGCCCGAGACCCTCTGGCGGTGGCGGCGAACAGACACCAAACAAATATCACTCGCCTTTTCACCCCTTCGCAGCTTCTACTACCCCCAGATTGGCATAAACAAGGGGTCGGCGGTGTGGCGTAAGCCTAAGAATCATTGATTTTTCTAAGGTTTTGGGCTCATTTTGTCCTTCTCAGGGGGCAGCGCTCATTTGCGCTTCTGAGGAGGTCGCAAGAGGCCTCAAGATGCCCCCAAGAGGCCCCCAAGAGGCCCCCAAGAGGCCTCCAAGAGGCCCCCAAGAGGCCCCCAAGAGGCCCCAAGAGGCCCCCAAGAGGCCCCCAAGAGGCCCCCAAGAGGCCCCAAGAGGCCCCAAGAGGCCCCCAAGAGGCCCCCAAGAGGCCCCCAAGAGGCCCCCAAGAGGCCCCAAGAGGCTCCAAGAGGCCCCCAAGAGGCCCCACGAGGAGCCCGAACGACTCACACCAGGACGAGGGGCCCGAACGACTCACACCACGAAGAGCCCGAACGACTCACACCACAAGGAGGGGCCCGAACGACTCACACCACGACGAGGCGCCCGAACGACTCACAACACGAGGAGCCCGAACGACTCACACCACGACGCGGGCCCCGAACGACTCATACCACGAGGAGCCGGAACGAGTCACACCAGGAGGAGGGGCCCGAACGACTCACACCAGGACGAGGGGCCCGAACAACTCACACCAAGAGAAGCCCGAACGACTCACACCAGGACGAAGAGCCCGAACGACTCACACCACGAAGAGCCCGAACGACTCACACCAGGAAGAAGGGCCCGAACGACTCACACCAGGACGAGAAACCCCAAACGACTCAAACCACGAGGAGCGCTTTCTCTCCCTCCTCCTCCGCCTCGTCCTTCTCCCGCTCCCCCCACAAGGAGGATGTACAAGGAGGCGGGAGGAAGGAGGAACAGGGGAGATATGCGGGGGCAAGCGGACACACGCCTGAAAAACACGACTGTCGGCATGCTTCGCAAGAGTTGCTGCTGTGAGATGGGCTGGTGGGGATACGCGAAGCGTAAAGAATTCGGACTTTGTATGGTTTGTGTTGTGTTGTTTTTCGATGGATGAGGAGGCCAATGAAATAAGAGCCCACACATCCTCCTCCTCCTCCTCCTCCTCCTCCTCCTCCTCCTCCCCCTCCTCCCCCTCCTCCTCCTCCTCCTCCTCCTCCTCCTCCTCTCTCCTCCTCCTCCTCCTAATCCTTTTCCTCCTTCCTCCTCCTCCTCAGCCTCCTCCTCCTCCTCCTCCTCCTTCTCCTCCTCCTCTCCTCCATTCTCCTCCTCCTCCTCCTCCTCCTCCTCCTCCTCCTCCTCCTCCTTCCCTCCTCCTCCCATTTCTCCTCTCCTCCTCCTCCGCCTCCTCCTCCTTCTCCTGCTCCTCTCTCTCTCCTCCTCCTCCCTCCTCCTGCTCGTCCTCTCCTCCTCCTCCTCCGCCTCCTCCTTCCCCCTCCCATCCTTTGTCCTCCAATTTCTCCTCCTGCTCCTCCTCCGCCTCCTCCTCCTCCTCATCCCCTCCTCCCTCCTCCTCCTCACCTTCCTCCTCCTTCCTCCTCCTCCTCTCCTCCTCCTCCTCCTCTCTCCTCCTCCTCCTCCTCCTCCTCCTCTTTCTCCTCCTCCTCCTCTCCTCCTCATCCTCCTCCTCCTCCTCCTCCTCCTCCTCCTCCTCCTCCTCCTCCTCCTCCTCCTCCTCCTCATCTCCCCTTCCTCCCCCTTTGCGCGCCGTTGCGGACGCGCCGCCGCCCAGCCCCAGGGCCCGCAGCGCGGCGGCCCGCCCGCCCTGGAAGCAGGGCGCGAGCGCGCCGCCGCGGCCCGCCGCCCGGACCCACGGCCGGCAGGCGCCGGCGAGGAGCAGGGCGCCCGCCGCCGCCAGGCGCCGCAGTGCGGCGGCGCGCCGCGGGCCGACGCCCATCGGTTTCGGAGGAGGAGGAGGAGGAGGAGCAGGAGGAGGGGAGGAGGAGAAGGAGGAGGAGGAGGAGGGGATAACGAGGAGGAGGAGGCGGTGGAGGAGGAGGAGGAGGAGGAGGAGGAGGAGAGGAGGAGGCCGGGGCGGAAGGAGGAGAAGGGGAAGGACGGCGGGCCGGCGGAGGCCCAGGAGGGGAGAGGAGGAGGAGGGGGAGGAGGAGACGAGGAGGGGAGGAGGAGGAGGAGGGGCGGAGGAGGCTGAGGAGGAAAGGCGGGCCGGCGGAGGAGGAGGAGGACTAGGATGAGGAGATGAGGGAGGAGAGGAGGAGGAGGAGGAGGAGGAGGAGGAGGAGGAGGAGGAGGAGGAGGAGGAGGAGGAGGAGGAGGAGGAAGAGGAGGAGACGAGCGTAGAGAGGAGGAAGAGGAGGAGGAGCGCAGCGTAGAGGAGAGATCCATCCGACCGACCACTGCGCTCAGCTCAACAGCTGAGCAAACCACTCCACACTCGAGCGACTGGCTTCGCCAGCGAGCAGAGCGGAGGAAAGAGAAGCAGGGGCAGCGGCCGAAGGAGGCGGGGCGGGCGGCGGGCGCCCGCAGGAAGAGGAGGAGGAGGAGGAGGAGGAGAAGGAAGAGGAGGAGGAGGTGGAAAAGGAGGAGGAGGAGGAGGTGGTCCTGGAGGAGGAAGAAGGGGGAGGAGGGCGGGCCGGCGGCTCGCTGCGGCGCGGATTCAAAAGGGCCCCGAAAAGCAGCCGTCGCAGGTACAGTTGGCCCGTCTCATCAGGACGCACGATAAGGATGCAAGGGCCTGGGGCGCCCATGTCGAAGCTTCTCGAGCGGGGCGCGGCCAACGAAAGTGGCCAAGGATGGACCGAGGAAGCAAGGGTGCAGGGGTACCCTTGGGAAGGCTGCCCATCCCTACTACGCGGGGTGACTGTGTACTGCACACAAGGCGTTGTCGCCTAGTTTCGGGCCACGGGGGCCCTCACATATCGATCCCGCCCGAGAATCGCCGCAGAGAAAGTGGGTCCGGGTCTGTGGTCGTGTTTCCTGGCGGTGCTGCACTTGTTTGTCGCGATGTCGGATCTCCCGGGGGTGCGTCGCCCGGAAAGGGGCACCACCCTTGCGGACTAGTGTTGCCTCGGGGGCCACGGGGGGAACCCAGACGGAGCAGGTCTTGAGCTCAAACGGCTCCTGAAACTCCCCCCCCTCCTACTCCTCCTCCTCCTCCTCCTCCTCCTTCTCCTCCTCCTCCTTTTCCTCCTCCTCCTCCTCCTCCTCCTCCTCCTCCTTCCGCGGCACAGGCCTCGGACCACATCCTCGAGCCATGTGGGCGCAGCATGAAATACTGGTGGTGCACGGTCTGTGAGAGAGTGGTGCCCCGCTACCAAACGCGGGGCTTTGCGGCCACGATTTGTTCAGGGCCTCCTGCCGAAGTCAGGAGAGGTGCCCAGGCCGCAGTCGGAGAAAGGTTTGCCCCCTCGTGCCGAGGGAGCGGCTTGCTGGAAAACGTTCACCCCTCTCACAGGCTCCAGTATGTGGAGAAATGGTTCCTGCACATTTGCACGGAGTGCGGTTCCTATTGCACGGTGGACCCCAGGAATTTAGTTGCCAGATGTGACGGGCGGACCAATAAGGGTTCGGAAAACCTTGCGAGGATTCGCAAAGGTTTGTTCCCGCGTCGTGAAGGCCCCCCGAGGGCTATTTTAGAGGCCATCAGGGCTCGTGAAGCAGCTGCCTGCGCGGATGTGGCAGCTTTGCACAGGCGTCCGCAGTCGGAAAACCCAGGATCCGACCAGGTTGGCCAGGGTGCTGGGCCTTCGGGGGCCCAGACGGGAGCGGGGACGGACCCCGCGGCTCCTGCCAGGCCTGGCCAGGCCCACGAAAGCGATTCCAGTGATTAAATCGCCCCCCAGGACAGCGTCCGCTATCAAAGAGTCAAAGAGTCCTCCTCCTCCTCCTCCTCCTGCATCCTGCTGTGGGGCAGGGAGTGCGCACGGGCCCGCCTGCGTGTGGCGCACAGTGCAAGCAGGCACGGCAGCTGGTGCAGACGAGGGCGAGAGGTTTTTTGTGTTGCTTGGCAGCGCCGATGAGTTGGCACACCGACGTGGCACCGAGCACCGCTGGACAATACATTACTGGATGCTTCTTCTTTTGGAAACAACAAGGAATACCGCTGGACAAGGCATGTACGCCGCACGCGACAGAAGAGGATAGGGGAGAGGGGAGCAAGGGAGAGAAGGCGGCGAAACTTAGCATGGCCGGCCGCGCGCAAAACTCTGGGCGATGCTCAGGTACGAGCGGTGGGCCCGTGAGCCCGAAGACAAACGGCAAGAAAGCTGCGAAAGAGATCGCGCACTGTGCCCGTGCCCTGCCCGAAGCCACGTCCACATGTACACGTCGTTCATGTCTAATCGTTCTCATTCCCAATTGCGCTCGTTCCTAAGTGTTCCTGGCCCCCTAGTGGCCAGGAAAAAGCCCAGGATAGAACAATTAGAAATGAAAGGATCTTGCCCCCCCAAAAAAATCAAGAACTCTCGAATCATGAACAATGAGCAATGTGTACTTCGCACAAGAGCTGGACAGGGAAAGGGGTGGGCGGATGGGCCGACAAGGCCAAAAACAACAAGGAGTCAAGCAGCTCGTGCCCGCGTGGGCCCCCCGGACCTCGCAGGAGACACCCGCAGAATTGCTCCGCACGGGTACGCGGAAAAAAGGGGGAGCAAGAAGATGGGGGGGAAAGAAAGAGAGAGAGAGAGAGAGAGAGAGACCAAAAAGAGAGAAGGAGAGCGATTGAGAGAGACAGAGGAATATAGAAAGAGAGAGAGGGAGAGAAAGGGAGAGAGAAATACCAACAAAAAGCACGCGCGCAACGACTCGAGCGGGGCGTCCGTCCTGGCGCGCGGGCTACTAGCGGTCGCTGCGCCCACCTCTTCGGTGGGACGTGCCGCATGCGGGTGGCAGGGGCGGAAATGAAAACCTCCCCCCTCTGCGAGGTGCCCGTGCTGCAGGGAGGCACCGTCTTTTGCAATCTTAGCGCGCCTTGGCACGCGCGCCTCGATGCCCTGGGGGGAAGGTGCCGCGTCGGGGCATCCCCCCAGGCAGCCCTGCGCCAGGTCTGCGTAACAACTCGCCAGGTGTCGGGCGTCGGCAGAACTGGGTTTCATGGAACCTGGTTTAGTGATGTGTACCGGGGGGCGCCCCCCCCCCGCCCCGATCCGCTGACCGGAACTGCCGTCACCCGAAAAACACCAGTCACGGCAAACCTGGTTTCGTGAATCTGGCCAACTGAGGGGCCCCAGGGCCCTACCACTGACCGGGTCCCCTGACCCGGGGGTCCTGGCTATACCTGCAGGTGCTCTCGCAGAAGAAGAAGAACACGCCGTGTGTCCAGAAGGCACGTGAGCAATACTCTTATTCAGCCACATCCGCAGCCTCGAGGCGAGGCAAGGCGGGCCGAAAACGAGGAGCGAGAGGGAAAGGAGAGAGGAGGCGGAGGGAGGGGACGAGGAGCGGAGGGAGGGGACGGGAGAGGTGTTCTCGCAGCGCACGAAAAAAAACAGGGCTGGCGGTGTCGCGCCCGCAGTGAGCAGCAGGCCGCGCCCAGAGCCCCCCCCTGCGAGAGCAGCCCCCAGCAGAGGCAGGCGCGCGGAGGGCCGGCTGGAGCTCGTCCCGGGCGGGCGGCGCTCCGAGGTCATCTGGGGGGGAGGAGGAGGAGGAAGAGGAGGAGGAGGAGGAGGACGACGAGTTTAAACCCGCGTGTTCCCGCCCGTGAGTGGGCGCCCCTGGTCTCGTCACTCCGCGCAGGCAGAAAGGCCCGAGGCGGGGTGGGCCAGCGGCCTCATCTCACGGCGTCTTACTGCCGCCACTCTGTGACTCATGGAGTCGCCCCGTGAGCAGCGGCAGTCTGAAGAAATGCTGCCGCTGCCCTCTCAGAGCTTGAGGAGCAGCCTGATGGACGGCCGCAGCCGCTCCTCCACTCTGCGCTCTTCCAGGGACCGCCCTGGCTGCTGGTCCCTGGACTCATGGGCCTTCTCGATCGCCCTGCCTGGCGCAGAGCTGTGGCCTAACCCCTCGCCACGCTGGGGCGCGTTGCGGCCTAACCCCTCGCCGCGCAGGGGTCTTCCGTGGCCTAACCCCTCGCCGCGCTGGGGGTCAGAGCGGTCTAACCCCTCACCGCGCTGGGGATACTCGTGGCCTAACCCCTCGCCACGCTGGGGGCTGCTGCGGTCTAACCCCTCACCGCGCTGGGGCGCTCCGTGGCCTAACCCCTCGCCACGCAGGGGCCTGTTGCGGTCTAACCCCTCACCGCGCTGGGGTGCTCCGTGGTGGCCTAACCCCTCGCCACGCTGGGGTCTGTTGCGGTCTAACCCCTCACCGCGCTGGGGCCCATCGTGGCTTGACCCCTCGCCACACTGGGGGTCAATGCGGTCTAACCCCTCACCGCGCTGGGGAATGTCGTGGCCTAACCCCTCGCCACGCTGGGGGCTGCTGCGGTCTAACCCCTCACCGCGCTGGGGTGCTTCGTGGCCTAACCCCTCGCCACGCAGGGGCCTGTTGCGGTCTAACCCCTCACCGCGCTGGGGTCCCTTGTGGCCTAACCCCTCGCCACGCGGGGGCCTGCTGCTGTCTGTCCCCTCTCCACTGTGGGGTCCTCCGTGGCCTAACCCCTCGCCACGCTGGGGATCGTTGCGGTCCAACCCCTCACCGCGCCGGGGTACTCCGTGGCCTAACCCCTCGCCACGCTGGGGCCTGCTGCGGTCTAACCCCTCACCGCGCGGGGGTACGCCGCGTCTTGCACTGTCCCCATCCTCGGTGCTGCTGCCCCCTGGCTCGGGCGGGGTCCCGCGACTTTGCCACTCGCTGTGTTCGCGGTTCACGTGGTATCCGCGGGCCGTGCCCTCCCTCTCGCGTTCAGACTGTCGGTTTCCCAGGGTTTGGGTCCGCTCTGTTAGTTGCGAGGTCCTGTCGACCACACTGTTGGTCAAAAGGTCCGCGTTTTGCTCATTGGGCACGTCATAGGCTTCCGCCTCAAGCCTCTGCTTGCCTTTGGTCCTGCGGCCTGCCCCCTCATCGCGCAGGGGATTTCCGTGGCCTAACCCCTCGCCACGCAGGGGTGCCTTGCGGTCTACCCCCTCACCGCGCTGGGGTGGGTCGCCGACGATCTTATTCAAGTCCCGCTGCAGGTCTGCATCGTCGTAGTCTGCCGCCTTCTCAGGCTGCGCTGTTTTGTGGCCTAACCCCTCGCCACGCGGGGGAGCGCCGAGTCTCGTACTGTCCCCATCCTCGGTGCTGCTGCACACTGGCTCAGGCGAGGTCCCCCGACTATGCCTCTCGCTGTTTTCGCGGTTCACGTGGTATCCGCGGGCCAAGCCCTCCCCCTCGCGTTCAGTCTGTCGGTTTCCCAGGGTATGGGTCCGCTCTGTTAGTTGCGAGGTCCTGTCTACCACACTGTTGGTCAAGACGTCCGCGTCATGCTCACTGGGCTCGTCAGGGGCCTCCGCCTCGATCCTCTGCTTGTCTTTGGATCTGCGGTCTAACCCCTCTCCGCGCTGGGGTCCTCCGTGGCCTAACCCCTCGCCACGCTGGGGTCCTCTGCGGTCTGCCAGGTGGTACCCTATGCTGTGCTGTGCATCTGGGAACTGCTGGTGGTTGTCATCGCTGCATTGCTTGTCTACGACCTGCTGGGGGCTGTCCTCTCTGTTCTCCTCTTCAGGGAAGTGGTCGAGGTCTGCCATGTCCTTGGTGCTGCGTCCTGCTGGTGGGGGACGGGCACCCCTCTGCATCCCGTCTGGCGCAGGGCTGTGGCCTAACCCCTCGCCGCGCTGGGGTCCTCCTCGGCCTAACCCCTCGCCGCGCAGGGGTCCTTGGTGGCCTGTCCCCTCTCCGCACAGGGGCCTCCTCGGCTGTGTGGCTGGAGCCCTGCTTGGTACTCGCCCTGCTGCTTGTGGTCGCGGGCTGCGGCTCCTCACTTCTGGCTCAGTCACGCCCAGGATCTGCTCAGCCGTTGCTCTGCGCCGCTCTGCCTCCTTCGGGTCCTGCTGCTGGATCTGTCTGCGCTCCTCTCCGCTGTTGAGCCATGCCAGGCGGCAGATCTCCTCCGCCGCTCGGCGCTGGCTGCGCTGGCGGCTCGTCCCTGACACGTGGCTGAAAAGCCTCTGATAGACGCCAGTCTGCAGCGCCCTCATCACATGGGGCACGCACGCGGCCTGCCACGATGGCCAGCCCAGCTCGCCCTCTTTCTGGCTCCAACAGCCTGCCAGCGACTGCATGAGCTGCTCGAGCCTGTTCCTCTCGAGCCACGCCACCTCCTGCTCGGGGTCCTGGTCGGCTTCTCCTTTGTTGTGTCGAAGCCTTGGGTGGAGCAAGCCGGCCTCGTCAGCTTCGCTCACGAACTTCATCAGGTCGGGCCCCACTGGCTTGGTCAGCGTTACTGCCACCTGCACTGCCGTCTGCATCAGGCTGTTGGCGTCGTGCCTCTGATCAGGTCCCGCCATGGTCTCCATCTCCTGGCTGCTCGGCTCACCCTCCAGCTCTGGGGCTTCACTGTCTGGGGTCGAGTCATCATCGTCCAGGTTCTCTGGTGACCACTCTCGGCTGGCCTCCGCTGTTCTCGGCAGCGGCCTGCGCTCACTGCTGGGGATGCTGTGCGCTATGATGTTGTTCCTTCTGTTGTGGAAGGCGTCCATGTGCACTCTAGCTGCCTGCTGCCATGTGCCATGCGGGAGGGTAAGCATCCTGGTCATGAGCCCCCGTCGCGTGCGGTGCGTGTTGCGCCAGACTTCTTCGCAGAAGTCCTTTATCTGCTGGATCTCCTGCACGGTGACGGCCCTGGCCTGCTCTTGCGTGTCCGTTCTGCCACCCACATTGGTGATGGCCAAGAGGTACGGTACGCAGTGCTCCATCCAGTCGCCCATGTCGTCCCAGACCTGTTGGTCGACCATGTTCATCCACAGCTCTGCGTAGCCCTCCATGTGGTCGACGAGCCTCAAGCTGGCGTGGACGACAGAGTACGGATGGCTGGGCGGCTGCTGCGGAGCTGGCTGCGGGCCCCCTGCCTCTGAGCTGTCCCCGTCCAGATCGATCACCTCGTGGTTGCTCAGGCCGAGCTTGAAGCCACCTGGCATGGTGATCTCGTCGAGACCCTCATCAGCTGGGTCTGCTGCTGGCTTAGCTCCTCTAGGCAGCTTGCCCCTCTGCATGTCCTCCAAGACTCGCCGCCCTGCTGCTGTTGGGGGCTGACATGGCCTTGCCAGCTTCCTTGCCACTCCTGCCACGATCCTGCTCTTGTGGTCCCCAAGGTAGCTGGTGCCGCCACATTTCTCGCACCAGAGCCAGCCATGGGTGTACTGCGTCTTGTGGGAGCCGTGCACCACCTGCGTGCCGATCTGCACCGCCTTGAAGTCGTGCCTGACGTTGCCGTGCTGGTCCTGGTGGCCGCCGTACATCCCGAGGCATTTACCCGTCTCTGCCAACCAGTCTCTGATGCTTTGTCCTCTGACTGGGCCACTGCGGCACGTTGCACACCACCATCGCGGATGTAGTTTTCGCAGGTCGTGTCCCTGCTGGGCTGCCCTGTCCCTCGCCGTCTGCGGCTTTCGCCGCTTGGCCTTGGGACGCTGAGGGGCCTTGTTGGGGTCCTCCACCGTCACCGCCACGTTGATGGCCAGCAGCCTGTTCTGCACCGCCATGGTGATCTGGTCTCTGATCTGCTGCTGCACGATGATAGCTGGATCCAGTGCTCCGTGCTCCGCCCCCCAGCCTGCGTACTTATCTGCCATCTCGTTACCTATGACCCACCAGGTGGGACCATTCCACCTCTCCAGCTCGGTTGGGTGCTCAATAAGGTGGCTCGGGATGTGGTGGCCCATGATGGTGTCCGTGCTGTTCTGTAGCTGCTGCTTCGTCTGGAGCCAGAGGTCGTAGTTCGTGCTCCTGTAGTCCAGATCCTCAGGGTCCTGGATCTGCTTGAGTGCGTCCAGGGCGTATTTGCAATCGCTGACTATGTTTAGCCCGCTGGCTGTCGCCGCCGTGGTGTACCCGATGGCTTTGCTCATGGCGGTGAGCTCTGCCCGTGGCACCGCGTGCGGTGCCCTGATTGTGCCGTACCAGGCAGCCACTTCCTGCGGACGCCCTTGTTCGTCGAACCTGAATGCCACCACTGCCCAGCCGCAGCGTCTGAGGCGGGGGTCCCTGGCCGTTTCCCCTGCACCACCTGAGCCGTCCGTAAAAACATAGTCTGCTCGCACCTTGTGCCCTGACTGGGCTGCAGCTTGTGCCTCTTCACTGGTGCAGAAGATCTGCGCCGCCTTCGCCGCGTCCTCGTCTGGGTCGACCTTGGCTGCCCGGGCCGCTGGCGGGATGCCTCGCAGCCAGAAATGCAGGTCCTGCCGCTGGTCCAGCGCGTCCTTCGCCTTCTTCGCCAGGTCGGTGTCATTGCTGTGCCATATTTCTGCGTTGGCAGGGCAGGCGTAGTAGCGGTGTTCCTCTGTCTCTATCGCCTCGCCGCATCTCGCGCAGGTGTCATCGCCTTCTTGGTTGAGGTTGGCCGCCCTGCGACGCTCCCTGGTCCAGATGCCTGCCACCGCTATGGTCCCCAGCATTGCTGCCTCTGCATGCGAGAGGAGGAGGAGGAGGAGGAGGACGACGAGGAGGAGGAGGAGGAGGAAAAAGAAGAAGAAGACCCGGCATTGCGTGTGGTCTCGTCTGCTGCGACATGCTGACCTCGAGCCGTCGCTCGAAACAAGGCTGTACCTCACACGGTCCCTGGTGAGGCTGCTCATCC